TAATAATAATCCTTAATAATAATACCTACCTTTAAGTTTTTTGTAATTAGAATTACTATGTGATGCTAATTATTATTTAGGCTAGAAAGAATCGATCAAGTGTGGTTTAAACCTGTTTTTCGGCTTCTTCCTTTCGAACCTCCCCACAAATATATGATTGAAGCTTGCACAAAGATTTCATTATTACCCCACTGTCATCAATTCTTTCATCAACAATTCTTAGAGCATTGCGCAGAATATCTAACTGTTCCTTTCCGGTTAAAGGTTGTATAATTATTTCATTTTCTACTTGTTCTACTTCTATAGCAGTTTGAATAAAATCTTCATCACTAAATTGCTGATGTGTATCTATTTTTTCTTTCTCAAGATTTAACAAATCTTTAATTGATATTGAATTCTGAAGGTGCAATATATCTAGTACTTGCTGAAGCTCCTTGATGGCTAATTCATTATCCAAATCAACAAATAGATTTTCTTTCACATCTTCAACAAGTAAGTCTTCTACATCTTTAACAAAAGGAGGTAGAACAACAGACATTTTATCTTCATAAAGAGGTAGTGGGTCAATAGGCATTCCATCTTCATCACGAGGGGATATAATTTTTACGTATAACTAGCAATTCTTGATACCGTATAATTCCCAAAATAAGCTACCTTTTTTTTTAGAAAAATTATCCAAAAATATTAAAGGTAGCTTATTATTGGGTAAAAGCCTGTTTCATCATTTACAAAAAATTGTACTAAGTAAATCGGCTTACCTTATTAAGTGAAAGTTGTTCAGAAGATCAAAATGCATATATTCTAAAAGTTTTATGTAAATCGGAGAACTTTTTATTAATTGACTTTTTATTTTTACGCTCAACGAATATAAATTTTAAAGAAATTTTTAAATTTTTTAGCAAACGTAATATGCCAAAGTCAATTAATAAAAAGTTCTTCAATTAACATAAACTTTCAGGATATATGTATTTTGATCTTTTTAATAACTTTCACTTAATAAGATAAGTCGATTTACTTAGTAAAATTTTGACTTTACTATGTAGCTACTATTATTATTTATGAGGGTAGCTTCTTTCAGATAAAAGATATTTTTTACTTTTCTTGTCCTAAACAAGAAAGTAGCTTATTTTCGGTATAGCTTATTTTGGGAATTATATGGTAGTTCTAACAAATATTTCACCCCAAGCAACCTTTATCCATTTCATAGCTTGCAATTGGTCAATTTGATATATATCACTTTCTCTAGCTTCATCATGATCAATTGCATGTTGAAGTTGCATATGAAGATAATGAAGCTTAAATGATGCGATAATGCTAGCGTCTATGGGCTGTATCTTTGATGTTGTATACAGAGGTAGTTTAAGCACTTTTGTATTAGTTAGAATGAGAGCACTAGTAGTATATGAAGAGGCACTATCTAGGATGAGTAAGACGTTACGATTTAATTCCTTCATTTTTTTGTCAAATTTTTCTAATCATTCCTAAATATAGTAATATTAGATTAATAACCCTTTTTTATATAATTTTAATACTATACAATGCAATAGTAATAATCTTGATTTAATTATAAGGCTGTGCAAAATTAATTAATTGGTTTTCGTAACCCAGCCAGATTAAAATTTAAAAATTTCTAAAAAAAATTTATGTTTTAATAATTGGGTGATTTTAAAATTTTTTATATGAAATTTAAAAAAAGCTAGCTGGGTCTTTAGAAGTTTTATATTACGAAACCAATTAAATTTGTATGGTCTAATTTTTTAATTTAATTTATAACCATTAGTTTTTTTTTAATAGTATATGTATATTTTCTCTAAAACTAGTTCCTTAACATGTCATTTACTCGATATCACAAAGAGTAACAATTTAGTATTTATTAGTTGTGAATATATATTGTTAGTAAATTGTTACTTAGCATAATGTCAAGTAAATAACATGTCTAGAAAACAGTTTTTGAGAAAATAAGACGTGATCTTTTTGATAGCTAACAATAATGAACACCCACTACATCATATCACTATGAAATTGTTATCAGAACATAATACGCCTTTATGAACCATATGGAATCTTTGCTAGGAAAATACCCCTTCGAGACTATGTTGATTTTGTAAATAGAAATTAAATATTCTGGCTATCTAGTTATCCAATTCGAATGTTCTTTTCTTTATTTTGTAATGCTTATTATTTAGCTTTACAAATAAAAAAAATTTATTCAAATTGAATAACTAGATGGTCTGCAAATTTAATTTTTATTCACAAAATCAACATAGCCTCGGAGAGTCATTTTTCTAGCAAAGATCCCATATAGTCATTTTTTTTTAAAAAACTTTAATAGGTAATTATTTAATTACTGATTTGAATCAATTAATTGCTAACTTAATAAACTAATCAATTTTTGATTCATCTAATTACCTGAAAAAACATAGCAGTCATCCAGGCTTTTTGATTGTTGTAATAATAGAATCCAAGCTGTTCTCCTGTCTTTTTTTTAAAATATCTAGGTTTTTTAACATGACCAATTATGAAGAGTTGAAACTTGTGTATGCTATCAGCATTGTATGTAAATGAAATCATAAGCCGTGTATAGTTTTTTTTTATTCTTCAATTTGGCGAGATGCAATTATATGATCAGGGGCTATAGTATAAAACAAACCTGTCTTATCCATATTGTAGATATTACATAGAGAGTATTTATTAGATGTACAAATAATCTCAGGAAGGTTTTGATTGATAGTGGCAATATCAGCAGAACTACTCTCACCATGTAGCCTAAAATTATGAAAATTATATCTTTTTTGAAAAGCTTGTAACCACCTGTTTGAGAACTCTGGCTGGTTACTTTCAGAGATTTTTATTAAATCTGCTAACCTCTTACCCTTAGCTTTAATAATATTTCTATTTATACTTATAGCTTTATATTCACATTATAGAACCTAATTCACCAAAGCCATATCTAATTTAGGAAGCATAACAATATGACTTTTTTTGACTCCAAGGTTACTTGAAGATATTATATTAAACTCTTCCTTCTTTTTCAAAATGTCTAAGATTGTACTTTGAGCTGGGGCTTTGAGAAGTTTGATTTTGTTTTTTGCCCATTCTGCAAATTCCTTCTAGGTAAGTTTTGGATTGGCTTGATAATGATCACATATCAATTTTCTTTGATTATTTTGCAGATTTCTAGCTAAAACGACTTTATCTTTACTTTTTTCTATTATTATAACAAAATAGATCAAAAAATATTTTTTATTTTAAAAATGCTAATAAGAATATTTTAAATTTATAAAGAGTAAAGCGAAAGAACTGTTGAATTAATAGATGTATTATATTAATAAAGTTGAGCAAAGAATTTTTAAAGATGAATCTACCATGTTGGTGATTTAAATATTTATTTATTTATTTTAATTTACAACTTTTTCATTTACATTTTTTGTTTTCAAGATACCATCATTTCCATTTACTATAAAATCTTGAAATACTAGGCATCCGCATGTTATTTCTAGTACATATATGGACTTTATTTTAGAATAAATAGCTCACTGATATATCTGAATTGCATGTTATTTTGGGATGCTCGTGGATGTTATTTCGAAATCAAAAATTTCATTTTTAAAGATTTGATTTTTAGAACAACACCCACACCCATTATTTCAAGATTTATGGTAATCTACTCTTGTTGAACACTAATTATCTATCTTAAGTACTAATTTATTAGATTTTTGCTTTTAAAAAATATTTCTTGGCATATTATACTAGAAAATATAGTGCAATTTACACAATTGTATATTAGATGTTTATTGTTAGCTTTGGTTCAGATATGAGACTACTATTATAGCATGAAGTCTTTAAAATATTTCAACACACAAAGAGAAAGTGTGTTAGGACTATGAAATAATCTAAGTTTTATTTTTTAAGATTTGTACCATTCTCACAAATAAATATATATATTTCAAATTTGATTTATATAGTGCATAAAAGCTCAGAGATATTTTGATTTTTTTTCATAGAATGGAATTAAAAGGAAGGGAATTTAATAATTCAGTTTTATTCTGATTATGCATGAAAATTCTCTTGTGACTTAAAATTACAAATTTTGTCTGTAAATTCCAGATTTTGTAGTATATTTTTTATATACAATAATGAACTGCTCAATAGAGCAACTTATAGTATCATGACAATCTTTGATTACTAAAATTATAATATCTTTACAACCTACATATTGTCATAAAATTAGCTAATCGTGTACGTTTTAAATAAACCAGAATGAACATACACAAATAGATTAGTCGCATAACTAAAGATTGACCAATTTTGTTATAGTGATATATATTCGATCCTGCAATTTGATTGGTTATCTCATGTAGGCCTATCACATGATATTTACAAATCCGATAATCTTTCAAAACCGATACTGGGTCAGTTCACCATGCTTATTGATTTTGAGAGAATCGACTATAGTTACTTTATAGTTATTTTATAGCTATTTTAAAGTAGTTCTAAAATAGCTAAATTGAGCAGTTTTAGCAATGTTATTTATAGCAACAATAAATAAAAAAACTTTTAATTTTAATATTTAAATTTTATTAAACAAAAATTGAATAGCAGAATTTATTATGGTTTGATTAAATAATAAAAGATGATATATTTATTTTATATTTATATCAAGTTATTGATTATTTATTTAAAAGCTTTAAGAATTAAACTAAAGTAGTTATTTTTTCATAGTTTATAGTATATATTGGTATAGCAACTTTAATTATATATAAAAAAAACAATTTAACTTTTTACTAGGCCATGTTATAGAACTAATTTTTTTTATTTGTGTAGTCAAATTCAAAAAAAAATTTACTTAAAAAACTCTAGTTAAATAAATGTCTACTAAATAGATATTCTAAAAACTAAATTTTATTCGTTTTAAAATCTAAAAAAATATGTAATAATTTTTTTTGTAATACTGTCAATACTATTTGTATATATATAATATATTGGCAGACAATTTGTGTAATTTATCTTTATATAGTGATGATCGGATCACTTTTGACAAGTAAAGCCACATTAAAATTATGTTATATTTTTTTTTAAATCGTAATTTCTCAATGAATATTTAAAAATTTGTAAAAAAATTATAACTTTGTAGAACTTATATAAAACTATAAAATTACAAATTTTTTTGCAAAATTCTAATTATTTATTAAAAAATTATGATTTTGGATATTTTTAGATAATTTGTACTATAGTATCCCTTAAACCGTTTAGCAGTCAAATTTGCTTGCTTAAATTTTTTTGATCAATTATTGTATAATTTCTCCAAATTTTATTAAGCCACACCCTATAATCTCTTGACTAGAATAAAAGAATATTATGTGCTAGTTGTCATATAATTGTTATTTTGCGAAAATTCTTCAACAACATTTCAAAATTATCTAAGAATAGTTGATCATTATGTGATTTTCATATGATCTTTATGATCAAATTTAATAGTAAAAATAATACTTGTATGTGACAATTATAAAAGATCTTCATGATCATCATGTAGAAATACCTTTTATAATATAATATTGAAGTTGGCCAAAGATTCTTCATAACCAACTTTACAGAATTGGTTTTTTGAAATAATCCGAGAGAAATAGGGTAACTCAAAAGCTTGGTTAAAATAGCATATTTTACACCCTTCATGTGAATTTATGACCTTTTTTTAAATCATTTCGAGTATGTCACACTGTAGCTATTAAATATAGCATGTTGCTTGAGCTTTTAGAAGTTACTATAACCAATTAAAATCAAAATTTTTATAAAAAAAAATTTTTAATGCTTTATTTTCATCAAATTATTTAAGCGGGCAAATTTGCCTACTTAAGTAGATAGTTTAAGGAATAGTTAAAAAATATATAAAATTAGAAGATATCTAAAGCAAAGACAAATTATGTGATTATCTACCAATCAAATTATAGAATTTTGATGATTATAAGCAAAGCAAACCAAAAAATAAAAACCAAAAACCTGAAAAATACAAAAATAGCAGTCTAAATCTATCTCAAGTAGGTTAATCAAAAATAGCAGAAAGGCAATTTTGCTTATATATATTTATTTAAAATCTATCTCTACTCTAATATAAAATAATCCTAACCCTAAAGTTAATCAAGAACATTATTAAGAAATATGAGTATTTTACTTTAGACATTTTCTAAATTAGAAAATCGCATTTTAGAATGATCTACAGATAGATTCCTGAATATGATTAGTGTATATCGTGCATACTTACATATACCTACTTTTTCTTTGTAATTATTACTATATTATAATACTCATTTAATATTAAAAAATTTTAAACATATAATATTCAACCTCTAGTTTATTAATCAAAATTAATTAGCCAACTTTTAATAAAAACAATATTTTTAGAATTTTATTAGCTGATTATCATAAATCTAAGATAATTCTCCTAATGATTATTACTAAATTGGGTACAATTATCAATATTCAAATATGATATAAAATTTAATTTGTTGTGAAATATTTATTTATTGAATTTAACTAATTTTAACTACTGGTTAAAACAATAAATTTTAACCACCTTTTATTTTTATAAAATTTTTATATAAAAAAAATTATTATTTAAAGATTAGGGTTAGAATATAAACTATATTAAATTAGGTATAGTTATTTATATACAAAATTAGGTGCTAAAAATTTTTACTTAATAGCCCAAAGCTAGTTTTTCTAATAAAATTTTATGATATTGATAATTTTCTTTATTTTGTTACACAAGATCCTGTATTCTGATTGGTAAATCATAGGGTGGTTAATGTCACCAGGGAGGCAAGTTAGCAATACTCTTATTTATTAATATGAAAAAAAATATATATTGCAATCATTTTCAGTTTATATTCTATCCAATTTGGATTTTTGAATTTCCAATATCCCGAGTTTCGTATACATGGACGTTTAAAAATATGAATAATTTACAGCAGACAATATGGCAAAATGTTTTTAATATTAAGATCAGTAGAAATATAATCCCAAAATCATTATTATGATTATTATAGTAAGCATCGACCTTTAATTTCGTGTAATATATTTTCGATGTCATAATTCGAAAGTTATAAGATGGCCGATCAAGTGACTGCACCGAGATCTCTAAATATTACTTTAATTTTTTATACAGGCTATTCTAAATGTGACAGCACATGCATTGTGTAACACTGAAAGATTTTACTTAATACTGTAATAAGAGATAATTATAGTTGTGCACTATTACGATCACTAGCTAATCACATCAGGATTAAGGTTTGAGAACACCCTAAATGTCAAAAGATGGTATATTGTTTTATGTTCATCTCAAGGTATCGATTATTATTTTAAAAGCTTCGATAATTAAAAATAAAGTGGCTATTTTTCATATCAGTTAGAAATTTGTTGAGAATTCATTGTTTTTTATGTTTGAAATATCATTGTTTATTATGTTTGATATGTAAAAAACTAAAAATAATGCTTAAGCGACCTTCATAAATAGTAATTTTTAAAGAAAAAGATGGTTTGTAGCTCACTGATATATTGATCGCAATGGCAGCTCACTTGGTTAATTTATTCAATTCCTGACTATTAAAAATTTGCCTCCGATCCATTGAGTGAGGTGCTTGAGAACACCCCAAATCGTTCGATTAACTCATTGAGGGAGGCGCTTGAACACCACTTATATAAATATAATTTTCATATTTAGAATTAATCCATTTTTACTGAACATCAGTTTTTAGCCAATATGCAGTGATACTTCGCACCAGATTGTAGTGCAGAAATATTTCCCGTACGTACGTACGTACGTACTGTATGCACATAAAAAACCACACTGACGATCCATGGCTTACCTTGGGTTGATGAAGTTTAAGAGAGCTGTGAATTGTTTAAACGAACTAGTTCTTGAGACTCTACATTGTAATCCGCCTGAAGTAGACTAACACTTTCTGTATATCTTGTGTATAATAACCTCACCCATACTAACCATTTACGAACGAACATATATATTTCCTAAGTTATACAAGCATATACTATTCGTAAATTTTGATGTTGTAGCTCTTCGAACCCAACCAAATAAGGATTGGTGAGGGTGTTATCTAGAAACACGAAATCTGCGAAAAACAGAGAGAAAATAACATTACATTCCCTTTTTAATGCACTATTGTATGTATACGTGGGTACCGTTGCATTGCAGATGCCGAAGCTTAATTATAAAAACTGAGAGCAAAATTTGGCAAGGTTTACATTTTTATTTACTAACTGAAACTAAGTGCATTATTCTTAAATAATTCCTATAACTCAGGGAACTCTGGAAAAAGTACGTAAATCCATAAGTTTGCGAATTCTGGAATTTATTTTAATTGCATGTGAAATTATAAAAGGAATTAGATGAGACTTCATCTAAATCAGCGAATAAAAATAAGAAGATATTTCTTCTGGATGAAGATAATAAAGTGTTTGAATATATTCAGGCATGGAAGGGGAAAAAAAATGATGCCAAGCTTAATGCCGAAACATTACAATCAATTGTTTAAGAGATAATCCCATAAAAGATGATGATACCAAAAAAGAGGAGCGCAGGAACTTTATAGAATTTCTTCTTAGAGCAGGACTGGTGATTGAAAGAGAAACTTACGACAATAAGAATGAA